CTAAAACTAAAAAAAAAAAAAAAAAAGACATACAACCACCAACCTATTTCTCCCCACCTGCAAAAGCCAAGTGCCCATCTTCTGCCAATCCAGGGGAGAAAAGCCAAACAGAGTAGGTGTCCCAAAACACAAAGGAAATACTAGGTCGAAGTACATATTAATCTTAATACCCTGGTCGACGTTTCCGCTCTCAAGTCACTCTTTAAACCTTTCTATTGCTCTTGAAGGTTTTAAAGTTATAATGGCAACACTGAGGAAAAAGTTAGTTTGCTTGCTTCCTTGTGACACACATAAAAGGGCGAAGTATTTTTTTTTTTTTAAATCAGAAAAAGTGATGATTTTTCTTCTTTGTATTTATTTTCAGAAGTTTCAGGTATATCAAATTTTGTCTTCCCAGTTGCGGGTACTCTCTCAGGCTTCACGGTGTTGGTGTCGTTTAAATATTCAAACGGAAAGAACTTTCCAAGTAAGGCATTTTTTGTTTAAGAGGAGACTGAGTAAACGTTGACAAAAATAAATACAAAAAGTAAAGTAGGATTACGATTAACCTGCTTACCAAAAAGTCCCCCCCCTCCCATTTACTCAGATTTCAACCTCTCCTCGAGTCAAAAAAAATCACACTCATTCTCCAGTTATCCAGAAATTCTTCAGCAAACATAGGGAAGGCAAGATGTGAAATTCCTAAACAAATATGATTGTAGAGCCATTAAAAATATCCCCACCCAACTACCTTTCAAGACAGTTATACATCATGGACACAAAGGCATATTTGCCCTTTTCATGGTGAAGCTTAAAGGTACAACACTCTTGTAAGGTAACCTGAGCACATCTACACTACAAAGGTTGGTATTGCTACACCAGCGAACCCTCCTGGTGTAGATGCAAATTATACCAGCAAAAAAGTGCTTGTACAGTTCACTGAGCAAAATATGCTATACCAGCCAAAGCTCTTTTATAACAGTATAAAAGTATACATACACACAAGGACTTGTGCAGATATAGAAATGTTGCCCCGTCTAGCCCCCCCCCCCCAAATAACCCGACATTACTATACCAAAACAAGCTTCTAGTGTAGACCTGATCAGAGAAAGAAATTGAGACAGAGGTTAAGCAATTCCTACCATATACAAAAGATTACTTACTGCCAATGTACTGTCGCCAACGTTTGATGTAATGAGTCCCTCAATTGTGCCGTACTCTGCATCCCTAGCATTGAGCCTTTCCATGTGGTTTTGCTGTATTTTTCGAATAATCAGCACAGCTAACGCTGAAAATATTATCAGCACTATCACCGGAGCCAGTATAACAATGACTAGCATTTCCATGCTGTAACCCACAGCTTCTCCCTGGAGGGTTTGCCCTTGGTAAGAAAACAGGAAAGAGAAAGGAGGTTAAGAACTCCCACAGACAGTAGTTTAAAGACAAAAAAATTATGCTGACATTTTCATTTGTAGTCAACTGAACTAAATACCGATCACAGGACAGTCAAAGCTATTTCATATAAGTTTACATTCACAGCCCACCGCCACCAGTACCACCACCAAATCTTTTATGGCAATCCCATCCGTGGTAAAATCCGTTCAAGTTTTTGAAATTCAGAATCACAGCTGGCTTCAGAGAGCTTTATCAAAGTCAGTAACCCAGAGTCAAAAAAACTTACTGTTTTGTGCACTTTAGTCCCCAATATTCAGCAGCAATCAGTGACACTCTGATCATGCAGCTTGCTGACCCCAACCACACCCATTCTCAGTCCCCTCTGGTTCAAGTGGCAAAAACCTTATCATGCCCAAACCTTAGTTTGCACTAGAGAGAAGAACATTAACAGGCAAATGCCCGACTAGAGACGGATTATAAAATAGCTATTTTAAAAATTAACCTTTCACCTTTAGTAGGCAATTGTGCTGTGATATTCATGTTGCACAAATATCCCTGACAGCACTCGACAGCTTGGTCAGGAGATGGGGGTGTTTTGCATGTCATTTTCCCCTGTTCATAGACTTGGAAGCAGCCCTTCTGGTAAACTTTAGTGCCATCATTTATGCTCAGGGAGGCAAAGCACTGCTGGCCCCGGCAGCGATCTCCATTCCCACAGGACATGCCTTCACACACACACTCGTAGTGGACCATATTTAGATTCAGCTCATCTGCAGAGGGGGAGAATTGAGGGGACATCAGCATATGCGCTTATTTCATTTCGGTTACATGCAGAAGATATAGCTATTGTTTAATTCAGTAGACGCTAACTCATTGACTTTCCGTTTAAGAAGGAAGTTGTTTGAATAGAAATTGGTGCTAGTCACACTAAGTGGGACCTAAAGATGTTAACAGACCCAATTTATTAAGATGCTCATTTATGAACAACTAGTTTGTACCTGCTCAAGTGTCTGGTGAGGATTCTACTCAGCCAGAACCAAACATTCACATGTCACACTTGCCGTCGTCTTAGTTGTGATCTGCCTAACTGCGGAGAGTAGAAACTGTATACCTATGCTCCTGGGGAGAATACCCATCACCAGCAGGTACTTGAATCAGCAGTGATTTAAATCGGGCACCTGATCAGTAGTGTTTCAGTCCTCATGAGCATTTCTTTAATTGCAGTCTCCTTCTGCCCAGAGCAGACACATAAAACACCAGACTTCTGATGTCACTATTTTACAAACAGTGGCCTGCCAGGACAAAGCTGAGTAGAAAGTCCATCGGTTGTAGTAACAGTCATTTCAATTAACAAGCAATAAAAGAAATAGCTGCTCTGTAGACTTAAGGGAATTCCCTCTTTATACTTTATAACACTGTCTGGTCACATTTATGTAAGTGATTCAGATCATCTTGATTTATTCAGTGCTGACAAGACCAGACTAGTCTGAGTTTTCTGCAAACTTTCATGGTTGAGAAATAAATTTTGCATGAAAGAGCCACCTCTTGTCTCATGGAAAAGCTACGGCACTTAGGCCTACAGGAAACAAAATTCTCTCTTATGGGGAGGTCTCACCGTTACTTACTTTGTAGGTCCCCCAATTCACTAGTGGGCTAGTGAGATATACCAGGTGATTGTATAGTGACCTGCCAACACTCCTCCACTACTGCTTCTGTAGCCTCAAACTTAAATTTTATTCAGACCAAAAACAAAACAAAAACAAAAAAGAGTATTGATACTACACCACTAGAGCTTACTGCAAAGTGAAGAGCAGTGCACCACATTATTCCAACTTGAGCAGACCACCATAGACACCTCAACAAGCCCACTGATTGAGAAGACCTACACAAACCAAACAGGTCAGACTCCAGGAGCTGAGGAATGAACTCCTACATTCTTATTTTTAAGTTTCTGGTAAATCCAAAAGTCTGGCAGTTTCTTATGATGTGGTGTGGAGGAGGGTGGGTATTGTCAGCACTAAATTTCACTGGTAACATTTTATACTGGGGATGCATGAGAGGCATATAGGAAAAAGGTACACACACACACACACACACCCCACCCACCCACCCCATGGAAAGAGATTTCCCAGATTCAGACAAGATCCTCCAGTAACCCAGAACATTTTCTATAAATGTATGTAATTTATATCTCAACAGAATGTTACTCTGAGTTCCAAAACCTGGCCTCTCTGCCCCTCTCTCTAGATAAGCCAAGTATAAGACAAAAAGGCAAGAAGTTGCTTAGTACTTCAGGATCCGTCCCCTCGGGAAGCTTAAGGGTTACAACCCAGTGCTCAATGGTCATTCATCCCCAACACTGCTCAGCTACAGAAAAGACCAGGGCCTGAATAGTGAAAAGTGTGGTAAGCCACTCAGAACTCTCAGACGCACGGTCTAAAATATGCAAAAAGTATAAACAGCACCTCCACACAGCCAGAAACAACTTGAGGCACAGAATGTAGTCAGAACAAGCTACATGCAGCACTTAAGGCAAGGTACGAGGCAAGAAGCCAATGTTAAAGTATTTCCATTACCTAACCATTCTTATCCCAATACAGTTGCATACTATGTTAAAGAAAACATACAAAAAAACCCACACAGCAATACTTACAGTCCATGCACTTTATGATGCGCCCCAAAATTTCTGACTTGCCACATTTAAAGATATTCTAGCAGCGACTTGCAGTGAGTTCTCAGACTTGTGTGCAAGTTATAATTTTTATGCACACAGTATATTAGTTCATTACATAGTATTAAAAATTAGAATTAGACTACAATTATCAAACTAATTAATTTTAGTTTGTTCACTTACATGCTAAACTTGCAAAATTCTATGATTCACAAGGGACATCCTGTTATTAGTGTGAATTAACAACCTATTCATATGGAACAAGAATTAGGATATTCAAGTCTTTATACTGATAGAAAGATATTTCAATTTCTTTTAATCTATTATTTCATGGAACATTCTTGGTGAGCCCTTTCACAAGGCCACTAATCCTCTGAATTCACATTCATCCCAAAGAAACCTTTTTGTATGAAGATGCCTACAGGACGCCAGCTGGCTGGTTACAGCTAGATTAAATAAATATTTAAGATAAACTAAGGATAGCCACCCCAAAATATTCATTACGTTAGTTCACATGAAATAATATGCTATTACTAACTGACCACTTTACTTTGTAGGTTGTACCCAATTTCTATCTTTGAGATCGTATGTGCCTCAAAGAGCTCACAATGCCCTCTTTTATATTTCTTTTGGAAAGCACTGTCTTAACGCATTCATATTATGTATTTCCAGTAGTGGGGTATGTATGTTTCTGGTTCTGTGGGAGATCTCTTTAAAATCTCTAGAGAGAGGTTGGATTCACCTCTGCAACCAGGTAGTGCTATAACAGCCACTGGGAAAACTTCTCTTACTGATGAATTACTATAATTTCAAAGTTTACTAAAACTCTTAAGTTTGGCTTGGACAAACTGGCTAAACTAGAGATGGTTGCCATCCGGTGGCCTTTCGGAGCCAACCAACAGAGGGCACAGTGATACACAATGGTTAAAAGGATCCCCCATCTCTGAGGCATATTATTTCACCAGAGAGTCATGCAAGGTCTCCACAGAAAGCCTGTGTCACATCGGTCATGATAATCACAAGATATATGTATACACTCACACAAAAATCATGTTTTCAGGTCTGAATTGGGGCCAGCCACCAGAAGTTGATAAACATCTCTGCCCGAAAGAAACCAGTTTATCAGTCTGCCTACTGAATGTCTGCCTGAGCACAGTGCTAATCAAGTGACTGCAAATTCTCTAGGCAGGAAAACAGGGTTGGGGTCATCCTGTTTCCAATAGATGAAAATGGATTTTTGGACTACAGCTCCTTCACCTAGGAAGGTACGCAAATAGTGGGTTTGCTTCATGAAAAAGAAAAGAAAAAAGTAGCACTAAAATCCAACTTGCTGGGTCGAATATGGGGTAGTGCCAATGCAAATCAACATTATTGGTTCTGGGGGCTATCCCAGAGTGCTCCAATGTGACCGCTCTGGACAGCGCTTTCAACTCCGATGCACTAGCCAGGTACACAAGAAAGCCCCAGGAACTTTTGAATTTCATTTCCTGTTTGGTCAGCATGGCAAGCTCTGCAGCACAGGTGACCAGGCAGTCCCCCCAGAATCGCAAACAAGCTCCAGCATGGAGCGAACAGAGACAGTGGATCTGATTGCTGTATAGAGAGAAGAATCTGTGCAGGCAGAACTCCGATCAAAAAGAAGAAATGCTAATATATATGCCAAAATCACCCAGGGCATGATGGACAGAGGCTACAACAGGGACACACAGCAGTGCCATGTAAGAGCCAAGGAGCTCAGGCAAGCCTACCAAATGACAAAGGAGGCAGTCACTCTGGGTCAGAGTCCCATACATGCCGCTTCAAAGATCAGCTGCATGGCATTCTGGAGGGGGTTTGGGGGGGGGATAGGGGACGGGACTCCCTACCACTACTGCACCACTGTCCATGGACACCTGCAAGAGGGGAAGCTCACGCAACACGGAGGAGGAGGGGAATGCACAGCAGTGAATCCGTTCTCCCTTTTCATCACCCTGGAGCCAATACCTTCCTAAGGCAGGATCCCCGACCCTGAAGGCGGAAAAGGCCCCTCTGGTGAGTGCACATTTGTAACTACAGTACAGGGTTTAAAAGCAACAGTGTTTAATGTTTGATTTGCCCTGAAGACTTGGGATGCATTCGCGGCCAGTACAGCTACTGGAAAAGTCTGTTAACGTGTCTGGGGATGGAGCAGGAATCCTCCAGGGACATCTCCATGAAGCTCTCCTGGAGGTACTCTGAAAGAAGGTTTCTGGGGAGGGCTGCCTTATTTCGTCCTCCACGGTAGGACACTTGACTACTCCAAGCCAGTAGCAAGTAGTCTGGAATCATTGCAGTAAAAAGCATGGCAGCGAATGGTCCTGGGTTTTGGTCGCATTCAAGCAACATTCGGTCTATATCTTTCTGTGTTAGCCTCAGGAGAGTGATATCATTCATGGTCACCTGGTTGAAATAGGGGAATATTTCTAAGGGAACAGTAAAAGGACCCCGTTCATGCTGGGCTGTTTGCGCTTAGCTAAAGGGGATCATCCCTGAGAATAGCCACGCGGCAGGGAGAGAGGTGAAGGGATCATCCCAAATAGCCACGCAGAGGGGTGGGGGGAGGTGTGTGCTGCACATCCACCTGAAAACCGCAGCCCCTCCTTTTAAATGGCAAACCCAACCGGCATTGCTTGCTATGGGAAATGAGGACGCTACAGTTTGAAAACATTCCCACATGTTATCAAGGCGTTAAAAGCCAAATCCACATACCCTTTGGCTTACCGTGGCTGCCTGGAAACCGAATTCTGTTGCCCAGCCGTGTGTGATTTGCCACCATACTGGCAGGCACTCAATATAAAAGGCAAAATGCGACCTTGTACCTAAAACACATGTGCTGTCTGCTGTGAATTGCTTGATTCACTGTGAAAGAGTCTCCCTTTTGTTCTCAAAAATGTATCATCTTAAATTTTACTCTCCCTTTTTATCCCCCCGCAGGTGCAACTGTTTCTATGCTCCCCCTATCATCTCCGTCCCTAAGGTTATCGCAGATTAGAAGGCGAAAAAAAACGCACTGGCAATGACATGTTTTCTGAGCTCATGAAGTCCTCACGCACTGATAGGGCACAGCTGAATGCATGGAGG